AAAGAGAGAAAGGAAGGATGGAAGGATAGGATGGTGAGAGAGTGGAGGGCCTGAGAAACGAGTCCAAGGGTCCGCATCTGGCCCCCGGACCTGGGTTTCTCTATATCAGATTTAAATCTTGTTTGTTAGTCCCAAGCAGAGTAGATCCACTCCACCAATTGCTTAATGGTGGACCAATATATCAGAAAATCCAATTGATTGAATGGCTCTACTGTAGTCAAGACTAACAAGATTTAGTGCCCTATGAAAGGAGTCCACTCATGTAACTCTCCTTATGCAGCATTGAACTGAATATGTCCCAGCTTGGCAGGGTCAGTCTCAGGCCACTTGATTATATATACACTGATATATAATCCAGATTCTCAAAGCAGATAATCAGTGTAGAAGGGGTCTCAATTAATCCTCTACCACCCCACTTTTCCGTTGCTTCTAAAATGTCCTAGTTTCTCTTTTCAGTCTTTCTCCCTTGATCCTTAACTTGCTTCAATTGATCCAAACTGACTTTGAAGTCCAAAAGTAGTTTACACTGTATTAACTCAGCATAGAGAGAGAAGAAAGGGCACAGACTTTCCAGTAGGATCAGGCAAAAGCAAATTGCAGCAGTTCCTCCTAGTTTGTGTGTTCTTTTTCACTGATACATTTTGCCATCTAAGCCACATTTTAATGTTCATTGGCCACATTTCCATGGTGACATGGTGTTGTGGTTTGAGTATTGGGCTATACCTCTGGAGAACAGATTTCAATTCCCTGTTCAATGGAAATGCATTGGAGCAAGAGACACACTCTCAGCCCCAGAAAACCCCACAATAGAGTTTCCTTATGGTCAGGATAAGTCAGAAACATCTCGAAGACACGCAACAAGGATACGTTGCCTTGCAACCTGAGCATACCATACTAACAAGGACTGGTGGGATCTATGTTGGTATCAGAGGGTAAAAAAAATAAGCATAAACTGAGCAATCTTGAACTGAAAGGGACCCAGAGGCAAAGAAGGTGAACTTAAAGGGGTCCAACTCTGGGCACTCAAAAGAAGGCAAAACAGTGTTTACAAGATTACCAACATCAAATGGTACAGCTTATAATGGGAGTCCCCGGTGACACAGTGGGTTAAACCGCTGAGCTGCTGAACTTGCTGACTGAAAGGTTGGCAGTTCAAATCCGGGGAGCAGGTTGAGCTCCTGCTGTTAGCCCCAGCTTCTGCAAACCTAGCAGTTCGAAACCATGCAAATATGAGTAGATCAATAGGTACCACTTCTGCAGGAAGGTAATTGCAGTCATGCTGGCCATATGACCTTGGAGGAGCCTATGGACAATGCTGGCTCTTCAGTTTAGAAATAGAGATGGGCACCAACCACCAGAGTCAGACACAACTGGACTTAATGTCACGGAAAAACCTTTACCTTTACTATAATGTAGTGTTTCTCAGCCTTCCTAATTCCACAACCCCTTAATACAGTTCCTTACGCTGTGGTGACCCCGAACCATAAAATTATTTTAGTTGCTACTTCATAACTGTAATTTTGCTACTGTTATTAATCGTAATGTAAATATCTGATATGCAGGATGAATTTTCATTCACTGGACCAAATTTGGCACAAATACCTGATATGCCCAAATTTGAATACCTGTGGGGTTGGGGTGTGTATTGATTTTGCCATTTGGGAGTTGTAGTTGCTGGGATTTATAGTTCACCTATAATCAAAGAGCATTCTGAACTCCACCAACGATGGAATTGAACCAAACCTGGCACATAGAACTCCCAAGTCCAACAGAAAATACTGGAAGGGTTTAGTGGGCATTGACCTTAAGTTTGGGAGTTGTAGTTCACCTACATCCAGAGAGCACTGTGTACTCAAACAGTGATGGATCTGGACCAAACTTGTTATGAATACTCAATATACCCAAATGTGAACACTGGTGGAGTTTGGGAAAAATAGACCTTGACATTTGGGAGTTGTAGTTGCTGGGATTTATAGTTCAATCAAAGAGCATTCTGAACCCCACCAATGATAGAATTGGGCTAAACTTCCCACACAGAACTCCCATGACCAACAGAAAATACTGTGTTTTTTATGGTCTTTGGTGACCCCTTTGACACCCCCTCATGCCCCCCACCCAGGGGTCCCAGGGGTCAGATTGAGAAATGCTGTCGTAGACCTTTGATACAACATCTTCTGAGGAAGAACATTCTAACTGAACAGTTGAGATTTCAGCAAAGGTATTCTTAGTGCCTCCTCATTCCTAAGGCTCAGAATTGGGCGCCTGATGCAGCTTAGAAAATGGCCAAGGATATACAGCATCTGTGCAATGGATCCAGTTGCTGACTTCCCCTGCGACATGAGATATTCAGGTCACAGCTGGCTCCCAGTCCTATGTAACACAATTCTTCCTCTGGGAAACCTCAGACCATGAATTTTCATTTAGGAAGCAATTGCCCATAGATAGTATCCCGCTTGCAGAATGACAGGTTGATCTTATCTGTTCTAGTTCAGTTTCCAGCTGGGGGGAGTTTCTCTCCTTGCATGCAGAAAAATAGGTCATTGGGGAGCAGGGAGTGGCCCCTTTCTCCTTGTTTTGCAAGTGGTACACTGAAATTTTCAGCTTGCACCTGTATCCCCAACTATCAAATCCATTATAGCAGTGATTCTCAACCTGGGGGTCGGGCCCTCAGAGGGGTTGTCAGCGGGGTCACCAAAGACCATCAGAAAACACAGTATTTTCTGTTAGTTATGGGGGTTCTGTGGGAAATTTGGCCCGATTCTATCATTGGTGGAGTTCAAAATACTTTTTGATTGTAGGTGAACTATAAATCACAGCAACTACAACTCCCAAATGTCAAGGTCTATTTCCCCCAAACTTCAACAGTATTCACATTTGGGCATATTGAGTATTCAATATCCATCATTGATTGAGTCCAGATCCATCATTGCTTGAGTCCACAGTGCTCTCTGGATGTATGTGAACTACAACTCCCAAACTCAAGGTCAATGCCTACCAAACTCTTCCAGCATTTTCTGTTGGTCATGGAAGTTCTGTGTGCCAAGATTGGTTTAATTCCATTGTTGGTAGAGTTCAGAATGCTCTTTGATTGTAGGTGTACTAGAAATCCCAGCAACTACAACTCCCAAATGACAAAATCAATTCTCCCCTAATTGGGGCGTATGGGGTATTTGTGCCAAATTTGGTCCAGTGAATAAAAATACATCCTGCATATCAAATATTTACATTACGGTTCATAACAGTAGCAAAATTACAGTTATGAAGTAGCAACAAAAATAATGTGATGGTTGGGAGTCACCACAACATGAGGAGCATTAGGAAGGTTGGGAACCAATGGTCTACGAGTTATGGTTGTATCATCTTGGACAGGAGAAGTCTTTGTTGTGGTTCATGCTGTGCTTTCCCTAAATCAGTAGATGCAGACAAAAAGCTCTCTGCTGAAGAGGAAGAGGCCCGGCGGATTGCGGAGATGGGAAAGCCCATCCTTGGGGAAAACGCCCGCCTGGAAGTCATCATTGAAGAATCCTATGATTTCAAGGTAAGGAGAGCAGCATTCGGTTCCAAGACCTGAGCAGAGAAGTTGAGGATAGGACAACTTGGAGGTCTTCCTTCATAGATTCAGCATCAATCAGAGTCAACTTCATAGTGGTTAACAACAATAACAACGGTTTAGGTTTGCAGCAGTGCACTAGACAAGAGGTTGACAATACGCATTCATCTGCTATTCCGCCATCCACACTTTGCCCCAGTCTCCTGCTTGCATACTTTAGAAGTGCTAGGAATGAAAGCAAGCAATGTGCACAATAGAGATTGTGCCATTCACCACATCAAAAGGAGGAATGGGATTTGGAAAGCTAGCTGACTGCAGGCAAGAAAGAAAGAATGCTCATGCTGGGCCACAATCCTCCTCTTCCATTGCCAACGAATGACAAGCAATGCAAGCTGCCATCACTGCAGAGCAAAGGGTGGGGTCTACTCTCCCGGATTGGAAAGGGACGGAAGCACCACACGTTGGAACAAAAAGCAATGCAAACTGTGCTCACTCTGTAGCCAATGATGCWGATGGCAAGGGATGGAGATGGTGGCAAAAGATAGAAGGTACCCTCCTTGTGTAGCAAATGATGGAGGTCATTGTTTGTGACTTTTAAAGGGCAGAGCTGTCATGATTGAATGGCAAGCAAATGAAAGTGCTAACACTGGTTGGTAAAGGATGGAAATTACCATTCATCAAAAGCTTCCATCATTGAGTGGCAAACGGTAGAAGAGTGTGGCTCAATATGAGAGAGAGGAAGGAAGGAAAGAAGGAAGGAACATATATATATATATATATATATATATATATATATATATATATGGAGCCCCCGGTGGTACAGTGGGTTAAACCGCTGAGCTGCTAAACTAGCTGACCGAAAGGTTGGCAGTTCAAATCCACGGAGTAGGATGAGCTCTCGCTGTTAGCCCTAGCTTCTGACAATATATATATGGAGCCTCTGGTGGTGCAGTGGGTTAAACCACTGAGCTGTTGAACTTGCTGACTGAAAGGTTGGCAGTTCGAATCCAGGGAGTGGGGTGAGCTCTCGCTGTTAGTCTCAGCTTCTGACAATATATATATGGAGCCCCTGGTGGTGCAGTGGGATAAACCGCTGAGCTGCTGAACTAGCTGACCGAAAGGCTGGCAGTTTGAATCCAGGGAGTAGGATGAGCTCTCACTGTTAGCCCCAGCTTCTGACAATATATATATGGAGCCCCTGGTGGTGCAGTGGGATAAACCGCTGAGCTGCTGAACTTGCTGACCAAAAAGTTGGCAGTTCGAATTCAGGGAGTAGGATGAGATCTCGCTGTTAGCTCTAGCTTCTGACAATATATATATGGATCCCCCAGTGGTGCAGTGAGTTAAACTGCTGAGCTGCTGAACTAGCTGACCAAAAGGTTGGCAGTTTGAATCCAGGGAGTGGGGTGAGCTCTTGCTGTTAGCCCCAGCATCTGACAATATATATATGGAGCCCCCAGTGGTGCAGTGAGTTAAACTGCTGAGCTGCTGAACTTGCTGACCGAAAGGTTGGCAGTTCGAATTCAGGGAATAGGATGAGATCTCACTGTTAGCCCCAGCTTCTGACAATATATATATATGGAGCCCCCGCTGGTGCAGTGGGTTAAACCGCTGAGCTGCTGAACTTGCTGACCGAAAAGGTGGCAGTTCGAATCCAGGGAGTAGGATGAGATCTCATTGTTAGCCCCAGCTTCTGACAATATATATATTGTGCACCGCTGGTGCAGTGGGTTAAACTGCTTAGCTATTGAACTAGCTGACTGAAAGGTTGGCAGTTCAAATTCAGGAAGGACCGGAGCCACTGTAAGACAATGCCTCCCAGTCCCATCTCAGTAGGATGAACCAGAAGGACACATGGTCAATGATATCAAAAGCTTCTGAGAGGTCCAGGAGAACCAACAGGGACACACTCTTCCTGTCTAGCTTTCTGCTGAGGTCATTCTCCAAGGCGACCTCTCTGTGGAAGTTATTCCATAACCAGGTCTAAATAGTCTCTTATTTTCACATGTTTCTGGGCAGTGAGAGGGTAAAGCCCAAATTAGTTATGTTTCCCCCTAGGATATAGTCTGGGCATGGCAATTTGCAGCCCTCCAGGGGTTTTGGACTTCAACTCCCACCATTACTAATAGCCTCAGGTCCTTTTGGAAGGGAGTTGAAGTCCAAAACCCCTGGATGTCCAAAGTTTGCCCATTCCTGAAATAACCTCACACTGTGCTTTCTGTTTAAGCCCTAGAAGGCATAACAGTCTCAGTTGTATCTTGTTTGTATCTTTCTCTTCTGCAGAACACAGTGGACAAGCTGATAAAGAAGACGAACCTGGCGTTGGTGATCGGCACACACTCCTGGAGGGAGCAATTCCTCGAGGCCATCACCGTCAGCGCAGGTACAGGGTCCAATAAGCACAGGTACAGGGGACTGAGGGTGGATCACAGTGCACACATACACGGCAAACATTCGATGCCGTTTTTCGACATACAAGACATGCAGACAGATAGAGGTAATTCATTTTTTTCCAGTGTTGGCTCCTGGAGGTTGCTTGATTCTGGCCACAGGGGGGAGCTGTCGCTTCATCCACTATGACGCCGAGCCTTTGATCGTAGTATTTCCTCCTCGTTCTTTGATCTCTGGCATTTTTTATGGTGTTGTAAATTAACTTACCCACTTTAAGGAGTCCCTAATTTCTCTACTTACAGCTCGGCTGTTTTCAAACTGCTTAGGTGAACAGTAAGCTGGGCTGTTAACAATTGGGAGCTCAAACCCAACTCGGGCTTTGAACTTGCCGCCTTCCAGTCAGCAGTGATTTCTGGCTGCTAGGGATTAACCAGCTGTGCTACGGCCTGGCCCATTAATGTGTGGGCTGAAAACCAGAGCAGTTTGATATTCCAGCTGGGTTGATCTCAGCCCCAGAAGCTCTTGAATGTTGTGGTGGCCTTGACAAGGCGAGCCCTCTCCAGGACTTGGAAAAGTATTGGTTTTGGAGTATGACTGCCCTGGCTAGCCTTCACTATTGTTGAAAAAACCAGCAGTCCAGTTTGATGAGGGATCCTGGGACTTGTAGTCCCAAAAAGAAGCCCTCCCTCCACCCAAACTCTAATGCAGCCAAGATACATTGAGGTCCCCACTAAGGGAAACATAGCTGAAGGAAAGAGTAGTGGGTTGTTGCGTGTTTTCCGGGCTGTATGACCATGTTCCAGAAGCATTCTCTCCTGATGTTTCTCCTGCATCTATGGCAGGCATTCTCAGAGGTTGTGAGGTCTGTTGGAAACTAGGAAAATTGGGTTTATACCAGTGGTTCAGTGAGTTAAAGCATTGAGCTGCTGAACTTGTTGACCAAAAGGTCGCAGGTTCGAATCCAGGGAGCGGCGTGAGCTCCCACTGTCAGCCCCAGCTTCTGCCAACCTAGCAGTTCAAAAGCATGCAAATGTGAGTATATCAATAGGTACCTCTCCAGCGGGAAGGTAACGGCACTCCATGCAATCATGCTGGCCACATCACCTTGGAGGTGTATACGGACAACACCGGCCCTTTGGCTTAGAAATGGAGATGAGCACCAACCCCCAGTCGGACATGACTGGACTTTACCTTTACTATATCTGTAGAATGTCCAGGGTGGGAGAAAGAACTCTTGTCTGTTTGAGGTAGGTGTAAATGGTAAATGGCAAACATTTAATGTCATTATACGCTGATAAGACAGACAACTGCAAAGATATAGAATGGGGGACAATGCCTGGCTCGAGAGCAGTACATGTGAAAAAGATCTTGGAGTCCTCGTGGACAGCAAGTTAAACATGTGCCAACAATGTGATGTGGTGACAAAATAAGGCAATGGGATTTTGGCCTGCATCAATAGGAGCATAGTGTCTAGATCTAAGGAAGTAATGCTACCCCTCTATTCCGCTTTGGTTAGACCACCTGGAATACTGTGTCCAATTCTGGGCACCACAATTCAAGAGAGATATTGACAAGCTGGAATGTGTCCAGAGGAGGGCGACTAAAATGATCAAGGGTCTGGAGAACAAGCCCTATGAGGAGCGGCTTAAAGAGCTGGGCATGTTTAGCCTGAAGAAGAGAAGGCTGAGAGGAGAGATATGATAGCCATGTATAAAGATGTGAGAGGAAGCCACAGGGAGGAGGGAGCAAGCTTGTTTCTGCTTCCCTGGAGACTAGGACGCGGAACAATGGCTTCAAACTACAAGAGAGGAGATTCCATCTGAACATGAGGAAGAACTTCCTGACTGTGAGAGCCACTCAGCAGTGGAACTCTCTGCCCCGGAGTGTGGTGGAGGCTCCTTCTTTGGAAGCTTTTAAACAGAGGCTGGATGGCCATCTGTCAGGGGTGATTTGAATGCAATATTCCTGCTTCTTGGCAGGGAGTTTGGACTGGATGGCCCATGAGGTCTCTTCCAACTCTTTGATTCTATGATTCTATGATTCTAAATGTTTCAATTGGCCACCTTGATTAGAATTTAATGCCCTGACAGTTTCAAGATGTGGTTTCTTACTGCCTGGGGGAATCTTTTGTTGAGAGGTGATTAGCTGTCCCTGATTGTTTCTTGTCTGGAGTTCCCCTGTTTTTTGAGTGTTGTTCTTTATTTATTGTTATAGTTTTAGAGTTTTTAAATACTAGAATATAAGTTTTTTTTCCTTTACAACCTCTGAGTATGCCTGCCATAGATGCAGGCGAAATGTCAGGAGAGAATGCTTCTGGAACATAGCCTTACAGCCAGGAAAACTCACAACAACCCAGCAATTCCGGCCATGAAAGCCTTTGACAACATGAAAGAGTAGTGCTTATGGACTTCTTTACCGTCATACTCCACAACATTACTGCGATTTCTCTAGCATACATTCTATCCAGAGGGTTGGATGTGTTAGCTAAGTGCTTCACAGCAACGATGAATTTGCAGCAGCCCTGCCCACACACAGGCTGTTTGGTGCTTGTCTTCACTTGAGATTTCGCAATGGGAGGAAAATGGGTTTTTGAGAGCTATGGATTCCTCCCTCTAGAGATGCAGGTTTTGCATCATTCTGCAATTTCCCCACTGTTTTGCCAGGTGCGTCGCAATCCAGCTGCATCAGGGGAAGAGAGAACAAATCATCATCATTTTCGCACAACCCTCCTCCTTATGCGCTGCTGAAAGGGAGGAAAAGGCCAAGAGTCAGCTGAATACTTAATTCCCTCCTTCTTGAGTTCAACCATTTCAGACTCTCAAGCTTTGCAACAATGGCCGTGCGGTTGAGATGCTGGAGGTTACAATTTGCCCACAAAATAATAAATGGAAATTTTGGGAGGACACCCAAAGAGCTGTAACCCCCTATTCTAGGTGACAGCCCACTTGTAGGTCTAATGGTGTCAGCTTTGAGCAAAAAGATGTTGAACTTCTACATTGATGATTATCAAATTTTACTGCCTTGGTACGCATGAATTATAGAATCATAGAGTTGGAAGAGACCTCAAGAGCCATCCAGTCCAACCCCATATTGCCAAGAAGCAGGAAAATTGCAGTCAAAGCACCCCCCACAGATGGCCATCCAGCCTCTGTTTAAAAGCCTCCAAAGAAGGAGTCTCAACCACACTCAGGGGCAGAGAGTTCCACTGCTGAACAGCTCTCACAGTTAAGAAGTTCTTCCTTAGGTTCAGATGGAATCTCCTTTCTTTCCTGTAGTTTGAAGCCATTGTTCCGCGTTCTCGTGTCCATGGCAGCGGAAAACAAGCTTGATCCCTCCTCCCTATCATTTATTTATTTACTGTATTTGGATACCGCCCTTCTCAGCCCTCAGGGCAGTTTACAATGGCAACAATTCAATGCCCCCCAAAACCATAAAACATTTAAAAACATTAACACTTAATATAAAACCATAACAAGAATATTAAAACATAGATCATTCACGTCTCTGAATAATAAACATTGTCCCATCTCGTCAGCCAGTCGTTCCAATTCCTATGTCTTTTACCTTGTATTTTCAAACTCTTGCTCAAACAACCAAGTCTTGACTCTTTTCTGAAATGTTAAGAGGGAGGGGGGCAATCTAATGTCCTCAGGAAAGGCCTTCCATAGCCGAGGGACAACCACTGAGAAGGCCCTGTCTCTCGTCCCCACCAAACGTGTTTGTGATGCAGGCGGGATCGAGAGCAGGGCCTCCCCAGACGATCTGAAAGCCCTAGCAGGTTCATAAGGGAAGATGAACCTTCTTGATCCATGGCCCTTGATCCATGGCCCTCATCATGTCTCCTCTCCGCCTTCTCTTCTGCAGGCTAAATATGCCCATCTCTTTAAGCCGCTCTTCATAGGGCTTGTTCTCCAGATCCTTGATCATTTTAGTTGCCCTTTTTGGACACATTCTACCTTAGAGTCAGCATCCCCCTTCAACTGCAGTGCCCAGAATACCGCCTTTATTTTATGTTGGCCAGCTTTTGAGCTTCATTGAATTCTTCATCGCTGCCTCCAGATTTCCATGGAAGGCATGCACGTTTGAATAGAAAAATGCATCATATGAACAGCACAGTAGTTCTAGTGCAGGCTTTCCCCTTTTCCGATTACACTACGTAAGACTGTTTTTAACTAATTAATTAATCAGTCTGGGGATTGTACCCTAGACCTTGAGCCAAGTTGGGTCTTAGCTTCAGCATTGTAGGCCACCATTCTGAATTTCCACCACTGAACAGACCACATTTGTGTGTAAAATAAGAAAAGAGGAAGGTGGTGTTCAAGAAGGAGAGACTCTACCAAGGAAGCCATGGCTGCCCCAAGGCCTAGCACAGATGTGGATGATAGGGAGACTTGGATAGGGAGACTCCCCCTATCATTCATAGGCTCCCCATAAGTCAAAGCTGCCATGAAAATGCTATTGAAAAGTCTAGGTATAAATGAATTGCTGATTGTAATTATTTCGTTTGAAGGTGTGGGCTCCTTGGATGGCCTTGTAAAGCTACCTTCTGGTCTCACCTGATGCCTAAGACACACTTTTCATGACAAGTTGGCCATCCTTTAGAGCAGCGTTTCTCAACCTGGGGGGCGGGACCCATGGGGGGCGTCACGAGGGGGCGTCAAAGGGCTCACGAAAGACCATCAGGAAACACAGTGTTTTCTGTTGGTCTTGGGGTTTCTCTGTGGGAAGTTTGGCCCAGTTCTATCATTGGTGGGGTTCAGAATGCTCTTTGTAGGTGAACTATAAATCCCAGCAACTTCAATGCCCAAATGTCAAGGTCTATTTTCCCCAAACTTCACCAGTGTCCATATTTGGGCATAGTTTGGTTCAATTCCATCACTGGTGGAGTTCAGAATGCTCTTTGTTTTTGAGTGAACTATAAATCCCAGCACCTTCAATGCCCAAATGTCAAGGTCTATTTCCCCCAAACTTCACCAGTGTTCACATTTGGGC